TTTAAGAATTCAAGTAGCGAGGGTGTTGCCGGTTTTCAATGAAAACCACCGCTGCGATCACAATTTAAAGTAGTACTCATTTAATCACGTCCAGCCACATTTGTTAACCTAAACTGACCATTTGTGACATGGTGTTCACAACATTGCCTAATTTCCGTCGGAATTCGCGTAGAGGCGGGGTTGCCAGTTTTCATGGAAACCGCCACCGCAATCACGAAAAAAAATGTATTGCTTATTTAATCACGTTCAGCCTTATTCTGTAGTTGGAATTGTTTATTGGTCGAATCGATGGTTTCTGCTATCACTCTGCAACGGCGGTGGTGCCCGACAGTAACGAGATATCGAAATTTAAAGCCCGCAAATCACTCAAGCGTTCCGATGAGTAGTTTTTGCGAGGGACCTAGATCCATTGCTCTTGATCTCTATACAATATCGATATCTCGTTACTGTAAGGCACCACCGCTGTTGCAGAGAGATAGCAGAAGCCATCGATTCGACCAATAAACAATTCCAACTACAGAATAAGGCTGAACGTGATTAAATAAGCAATACATTTTTTTTCGTGATTGCGGTGGCGGTTTCCATGAAAACTGGCAACCCCGCCTCTACGCGAATTCCGACGGAAATTAGGCAATGTTGTGAACACCATGTCACAAATGGTCAGTTTAGGTTAACAAATGTGGCTGGACGTGATTAAATGAGTACTACTTTAAATTGTGATCGCAGCGGTGGTTTTCATTGAAAACCGGCAACACCCTCGCTACTTGAATTCTTAAAAATCGTTTAAAAGTTTCAAAAAAGTGCAAAACATGAGCTGACTTTTCGAATTTTGCTTGGTCTAGGCGTTTTGCTTTAACACGGAGTCGCGAAACGTACCGAAACGAGCGTCAATATCGGGGGTCGGGCGTGTTGCCGAATTTTCAAATCGCTATAACTCGTGTTCCCTAAGTCTCTCAGAAAAATATAATATATCAATGGATGCGGAATCGAACGAACAATAATTTCGACAGGTTTTTATTCAATCCCCACCAACTGCAAACACTTTTTTAGGCGGTAACGTGATTTTAAATAATTGCGAAAATTAAAAAAATGGCCAAAACGTGGCAACAGTGGAGTGAAGTTAAAATTTCTTTTGCATAGGTCGATAGAACGTAATTTTTTGCGTTTTTTGGTATAAATACGAGCTCTGTAACTGCATTTTTGCGGAAGTTATGGATGTTTGAAGGTTGCGACTTTAAAAAATGGCAACGCTGTTTCCCTGGGGTTCCTGCAAAAACGGAGCTAGGGATAAGCCTCTCTCAACTAGTACTATCATCCTACAAAGTTTCGTACATTCCGGGCTGGGTACATTTTTCGCCTATATGAATAACCCTCTTTTTAGTTCGGCAATGTTACTGTGATTAGCAGGTTCGGTGTTTTGGCTTGGAGAAGGGCGTTGTCATGCCGAACTTCACCTTCAAATACCGAACACCGGTTCCAACCTCAAGGATTTAGCAGAGCCGTGCTATAATTTACAGTTATTGATAACTGTCGATTAAAATGCAATGACTTTTCCTTTTAATACTGCAACGTTAAACGTCGATTAAAATGTAATGACTTTTCCTCTAAATATTGCAAAGTTAATCGTCGATTAAAATGTGAGGACTTGTCGTTTTATTAATTCAACGTCTAACATTTCAAAGTACAATTGAATAAAATGGAAGAAGGACAAAGAGAGAGATTCAGGGGAAGTTAGGGGGAAAGAGGGGAAAAGAGGGAGAAAAGTAACCTTGAGAAGCTAAAATGTGCTTCAAACTAATTAAGAGCAAGAATTGGATACATAAGAATTAGGATTAAAACATGAAATGAACGTAAGTACCTATCAATTTGACTGCATTTTGAAATGATAAACTACATATTCCGGCTCATATAAGAAATAGCATATCGACGGTGAAACTACCAGACCACGTATCTCGTTTGCGGTGTTTAAAAATCTCCACTCACATTTTATTTTTTTGAAGGAGATCAAATCAATATCATTCCTTACAATTTTCACAGATTTTTCTCCGCACAAAGAGGAAAAATCACGGAAGTTTTCACGAATTGACGTTGAGTAGTTTTCTATTTAAAAAATAAAGTATGACAGGAAGTCTGCGACGTCGCAAACCGAGATACGTGGTTTGGTAGTTTCACCGTCGATATGTGCCATTTGACTCCCTGTTTAGGTAGGCTATTTTATGGACAAGCCAGAAACGGGAATTCCTCATTCCAAAATACGGCCTAACCATGAGTGAATTTACATGTAAGTAAAATGTGACCGAAAATTAACAATGCCCACCGAGGTACACGAAGAGAGAAACTTCGGTTCATCTAGGACACCAAAGATTCCAGTATACTGTTAACCAAGATTTTTGTGAGCCATACTAATGCTAGTATTCCTTACCGAAAACTTCAGTTTTATGAACTGAAGTTCAATTCGTACGACTAGAAACTGCAGGTTGCTGAACCGAAAAATTTAATGTTTCACATGAACTAGAGTTTAGTCTATGTAACTCCAGCTTACGTAGTCTTGTAGTCTCACTATTGACATCCAACTAATTTAAGTTTATGATTACTGTCTCTCATGTGTTCGACCTTGCACGAATTTTCAACTTTTCGTGCAATTTCGCGATATTTAAACTCGAATTTCATACCTGCGGTCAATGGCATTTTAACTGTAAAAACCACAAAGTTCAGCCAAAATAGTCATTAACTACCGTTCGATGGCGAGCCAACAAACTTGACTCGAAGAAACCTCCACCGCACAACGCATTATTATCCGCTTTTTTATGGCTTCTGCGATCTTTTTCCTCAATTCGTTTCCGTGTCCTGCCCCTCCGAGAACGCAACCGACATTGGATTACCGTCTTCTTGCGGATCTTGTTTCTTATAGTTCTTTGTTAATGTGAATAGTGAAACAAAGAAAGACAGGGAAAATGTCGCAGTCAATGGAATTTAACGTCAAATCCTGAGCTTCCGTTCCATTGTTACCGGAGCTAAGTGCAATCGTATTTTTGTGAAAAGAATAAGTGCAAGACCTTTTTTGTCATTTAAAATTTTCTTCAAGATAGCTTACTCTATGAGCCACATCCCCCAAAATTCGATAGATTAAATCGGGGCTTTTTCTTTATTTTGAAACACCGCAGCAATTTTTCTGGACTGTGTACCAACGGGAAATCGGTATCAAGAAGTAAAATTTTATGCGGGACGGGAAAGGGGGTTGGGAAGAAAGTATCAAACTTAAAGGAGGCATAAATCAATCTTCGTAAAATAAATGCCTGAAACCAGCCCCAGAAAATGATTTATCCCCCTCTGAGGTCAATCATGACGAGATCAATTTACTCACCCTCTCGTTTTTATCATTATCAATATTGATCTATAGACGTCACCACAGTTGCCAATACTTAAAAATAATTTTTTTTCATATGAGAGAAAGGAGGCTACAGCTCTGAGGGTTCAAATGTCTCATAATAATAATAATAATAATAAAAAATCAGCCCAAACGATCGACTCTCGCCCTAAAGCACTCTGTACTTTTTCGGAATCAGAACCAATAACCAAAAGGTATTAATTGATGTACTCAATTTTATTCCGAATAGTAATTCAGATGAAAATCAATCAAGACACTTGACAACATAGATCTAAATTTACCTATTTTTTTCGTACTTTCTCACGTCTGGCGAGCAGACAATGAGTTAGGAGAAAAAACAGCACCGCTGTCAGCTAATTTGGTTACGGTGGCTTCAAGGTCTCCTCATGCCAAAATGTTCCTCGACGGTTGTCATAAACCATTAATACATCGGTGTGAAAAAGCCGGCATGTTCACGGTGGCGACTTCACAGTGCCCTGGAATCGATTTTTAGAAACACATAAAAACAAGAAAAAATTCCTGGATCCAGTCGGGTTGTCCACGAACTTCAACGGAGGCTGAACTAGAAAAAGAGGCTCACATGTTTTCTCTTCAAAATATTACGTAAAAAGATTATTACAACGGGAAGTTTAGGAATCAACTCCCATGAATGAGATATTCACAAATATTTTTAACACGGATCAATTATTGGAAGATAGATTGTATGCAGTGGTGAGAAGTGAATGATCGATAATGATATTTCCCTATTTGAAGGTATGGTAAAAAATCGATTATTAAGGCGTTCGCTGCAAATACCCTATTTATCGATCCTTTCCATTGGTTTAAATGGAAGATTAATCTATATATCGTAAAGCACGTCACGCCACTAATTGTATGAATGACGCCATTTGTATTTTTGCCATCATTTAAACCAATGTTAGTTTTACACACTATAAAGTATGTTGGTATGATTTCAAAAATTTAGTCTCATTTTTGCAGAGAGGAGAAGCTTATCCGAGCCCAAATTTTTCCTAAAGAGAATAATGCTATTTGGTGCAACACTTGTCACGACCGATGTTGCTTTAGGTACGCTGGTTTATGATGTAGGCTTGTCCTGAGTTCCTCATCAAAATACTTACCATTAACGTGAAAATATTCGAACGTTGACATACTTAATTGAACGTATTTAAATCAAAAGGAACTATTTCCTTCGTGACCTGGGCCTTGAGATCCGTAAGAATATATCCATGACAAAGTTCATGTCACAACGGAGATAGTTTCTTTTGATTTAAATTCGTCACATTGCAGCACCGAGTAGAGTACACGTGGTAGCTAGACCGGATCCATGTCTAACAGAGAATTTTTAAGAATCTAGCTGGTGCTGGGCCTATTGAATAATTTAAAGGGTCGAGGCGAGATAGGTCATGCTCGTTTTTCCTCACCACGAGAAATTCAGGTTTTGAATTGCAGGAACACATTAGAGCTCATTGTTTCCCGCCACTTCTGATATAAAAGCCGCATTTCCCGCCGTTCTCTCGCTTCCATATCGAGAAAAAATTGGCTGAGACCTGATCCACTTCAAGAACACATTTACCTGCCTATCTCTAATGCCTACTTTCTTTCTTTGTTACAGTGGTCACAGGAGCAACAGATGGAATCGGAAAAGCTTACGCCGAAGCGGTAAGTAAATTTCTTTTTAAATTTGGGTAGCGCTGATTTTTTGCCGTGCCGCACAGTGGATCGAGTCATTAGGAGAGGTCGGACAAAATTTGGGAATTTTAAACGCTTATAACTCCGTTTATACAAAACTTTGAGTATCTAAAAGTGGTTCCATTGCTTTCCTCGTGAAATTTCCTTCTAAGAGCACCCCTTAAAATTTAAAATGTGACGATTTAAACATCAAAATTTGCAGTTTCAGTCAAAGCTTTCATGTCCGACCTCTCCTATTGACTCGATCCACTGTGTGCCGGATTTCGGACAGGGCAAGCTGTGTGGTGTGGCAGCATACGGCACCTTTGTCGTGCCGTCATTGAAAATCAATTGGACGTATTTATGCTAAAAGTAACTATGTGCGTAGGGTTTGTGTGCAACATAGTCCTTTTTAGCATAAATACGTCCAATCATCCTTTATATTGAAATTAAAAGTGACAGAAAAGGGGGGGATGGATTTGATCGGAATGAATCGACGGACGAGAACCGATCGACAAATTATTCCAAAACCGGTGGGCATGCATCGATCGAAAAAAAAATGGAACCGATCGACAATGACACAATCGACAACCGTGAATCTATCGAATATTTTGTAAAAATCTGTCGATCAAGTCACTGTCGAACCACTGTCGATCGGTTCACGTCGATCGATTCACGTTTTTATTTTTCAATTGACTCATGTCGATAAAATCCATTTGTGGCATCCGACAAAAAATTTGCAGCATCGCAAACCGTGATGAGGAGTTTTCTAGTTGCGCTATCGATGCATGCTATTTTAAAAGATATAAATATAGGATTAGAGAAAACTCTCATGATGTCTAAACGCTCCACTGTCTCGGCGGGCTGAAATTGTGAGGCAGTCATAATCGTCGTCTCCCTGACGTAAAGGCGTATTTCGATTTCCACGTGAGCCGTGTTATCTATACAACTCCATGCTCTCCCGAGCTCATGTGGAAATATAGAGATATCCCTATGCCAGCGGAGCGACGTATTGTGCTCTGCTCTTCAGAGAAAATCGAATCATAATGGGCTGGGCATGCCTATTCATTTGAAGTACAAAACAAACACGCATGGTGAAAAAATTGCAAGTCCACTCTGACAGATCGGACATTCGCTAACACCTCGACAGTAACAACGTTGCCAGACTGATCCCTTACGTGATTTTTACCAGAAAATGAAGATTTCCTGTCGGAATGTGTCTTTTTGAGCATGAACAATTGTTTCACACACACTCACAAACACTCCTTTCATTGTTGTTCTATGCCGACGCTGAGAAAAATTGTCTTACAAAAAATTGAAACAAAATTTTGTTTGATTCGAAAAAGTGTAATTTAAATTAGTTTTTTTTTTTTTTTTTAAATCAAAAAAACTTTTTTTTCAATTCGATTAAAATGGAATTAGTCATCGATAAAAAAATTTTCGCTCCTTTGAATTAAAAAAGCTCTCTTGCAGTAAAACAAGTTTCTTTCACTGAAAAAAAAAAAATCTTCAAGAAAAAACACTGATTCGCCTTAATGAAACGTCTATTAAATCGAAAACCATTTCGGTTTCATTGAAAAAATGTTTTTTAACAGTTTTTAAATTGAAGATTGATAATCCTAGGAAATAATCAGAAAAGTATGAATTCATCGGGTAGTATTCTAGCTGCGGGTAATCTGAGCGCGACCTTGCCTCAATTCATTACGTATTACTTGACTTAAAAACTTTCGGTGATACTGAATTGGTCCAACTCTACCAGGGGAAACGTTTTCCCTCAGAAATAATATCATAAAATAAAGAAAGCACTTTTTAACAGGCAGAATAACTGCAGTATGAGTGAAAAATACAGATTCCCGTCCGGGTATACTCCAGTGGCGTGGTGTGAATTGCGATATATCGATTGTTATGCCATTTAAACCTATGGTAAAGAATCGATTATTAAGGTGTTCGCTGCGAACACCCTGTTTATCGATCCTTTTCCATAGGTTTGAATGGCATAACAATCGATATATCGCAATCCACGCCACACCACTGGTATACTCCCTGGGCAATAATGCAGTTCAAAACCAGGGCCGGATTTACCTACATGCCGCCCATGGGCCGCCTGATTTTTCCGCCCCCTTCTCATTTGTTTTGAAACATCATTAGATCGTATTCGACAGTGGTTCGATGTATCGTTTGGTTCAAAACAATAGAACACAACCCCAAACAAAAATTTTAGGATTTAATTTGGAAAAGCTGAAAATGAGAAAATTCCTAACAATCCCACTTTTCATTGCCATTTGGTACTCGAGAGAATAAAAATTCGATCACATAAGACCCGTTACCTCAGATTTCTAAATTGACTTTTGAGGCTTTGGTTACATATTGAACCAATCGATATCAATATAATCTCACCTGTGTGATCTGTCAAATACGATCTATAAAAACCATCAAGTGAGCGTGCCGGTGGGGGAGGGGTGTATGAGACGCATTTACTCGTGTTGGGCACATTTTTTGTAAAAATCCTGTCAACACTAACGAAAGTTCCGTTCCGTAAACCCATCCCTGTTTGGGCAAGGCCTTCCATTTATAAAAAGGAACGAAAAAATTATGAAAGAACAAACATAAATGTGATAAAAATTTTAACCTCCACCGCCGCGCCGCACCGCCGACCGCACTGTGTTGGGGCAATGCGTGAGGTATTCATGCAGTCTTGTAGGCGCTATGTGTTTCATGCAGACCGCCGCGCCGCTTCGTTCCAGGTTAAATTGCGTGTTTGGTTTCTCTCTTCAGATTTCGTACAAAAGTACATACATGTATAGTTTCCAAACCGCAAAAAAATTCGATATTCTGATGACTAAATTGAATGTATCCCAAACTCCGAGCACTAGGAACACGGTGCGTTCAGGAATGCGGATTCTCCTTCATTTTATAACGTAGGCAAAAAGGTCCTCCATTTTTAGCAATAACATTTCTGAATGACTAAAAACTGAGGATATTTGTACGAACAATTCTCTCAGGAAGTGGAAAACTGATTGGTTCCGGGGATAAATTGAGTAAGCGAAATTTTGACAAAAAATTTTGTTACGCATGTAATTTTGAGCCGAGCTTATCACAAAGTGTACTTTGCAGAAAGTCAACTTCCAACACTAGATTATCAGACTCTTAAAATCAATTTAATTTTTCTTACGAGACATGATACTCGCACAAATTTGACTCTAAAGAAAACGTTTTTCTTTTTTTCACGAAATTGCAAACACTCTTATTATCTTTAGAAGGACTCATCAACGATACGAACCATTTAGACGTTTTTCGCGAAATGAAAATTGTGGTAGTCTGCATAGATAAAAACAAAACAAAAAAACAAATACTATCAAACCACCATGCAACCTGCGAGGCATCGGCCAAAGCGGCGTTGAAGTGGTCCTCGCTTGCTTGCCAAATCTCCGCCAAATTCGGTACTACTCCGTCTAAACTAATGAACCACGGCGTTAAGACTGGCAGCAGCCTACCTAGGAAGGAGCGGAGGAGCTAATAACGTCGCCTCTGTGGCGTACCTCAATTTTCACATGAGCCCTGTTTTACATATCAATCCATGCTTTCCGGGGCTCATGTCGGAATTAAGATACGTCCTTACGCCAGAAGAGGAGCGACGATAAGAGGCCCATAAAGACTTCGTTCCTCGTTCGACAATGCGCCGTCAGGCCGTCTCCATGCGTTATTGTTATCAACAGCACCGTGCAGACTTTCACCGCTACTCTGGCGGTTCCAGCATCAGCAGCGCTAATCTGGGCCCGAATTCGGAACGCTTTCTTTCCGATCAATCGCCCGAGCTCCGGTCGCTGCACCGGAATGTCCAGCCAGCTCGGCTGTCTGTTAAACGGCTGCATCGAAATTGCGGCGATCTTGTGTAGGCTGCACTGCAGTTTTTACGCTTCCTAAGTTTCGCACGGTTTTTCGCGCGAGAAAGGAGGTAGGAAAAGAGGAGAATGTTCGATGATATGGGCATTTCCAATTGACTGCGGTAGTGCCCCAATGGAGATGTTGCATGTGTGAGGAATTGGCGATTTGACTGTTGATTCTGGTGTAAAAGTTCGCGAGAAACACGATAGCGCCACTGGTTTTCTCTGAAATCAACTCCCAAGCTCAAAAAAAGCTCTCAAGTTGAGGCCAAAATGGAGGGGATATCCCACGCTATTCTGAGAGTCCACTTCTACATCAAGACGAACTCTCCATGCAAAGATAGGGAGCAAATACATTGGCAGTGATGCCGTATTTTTAGTTTAAGAGTCCCCAAATAAAGTGGCAGCCCTGTCAATGTATTCGCTCCCTATCTCTGCATAGTTTGTCTTGATGTAGAGGTGGACTCTCAGGACATATCGTGGGATATCCCCTCCATTTTGGCCTCAACTTAAGAGCTTTTTTTGTGCTTGGGAGTTGATTTCAGAGAAAACCAGTGGCACCATCGTGTTTCTCGCGAATTTTTACATAGGAATCAACAGTCAAATCGTAAATTCCTTACACATGCAACATCTCCATTTTTGGTGGTAATACCCCAATAAATTAGGTTCCTGCACGGAGAAAAAAACTTCGTTCATGGGACCCGAAGTTGAGGTCATATGGATCTCTGAAATTTTCTGATCACGCATCCGAAAACTTGAGGTCGACCTGCCGAAGTTCGGGTCAGACGTCGAGGCGCTTCGGTATGTACCGGAGTACTTCAGATGTGTGACCCGAACCCTTCGGTACATATCGAAGTACTCCAGATGTCTGACCCGAACTTCGGCAGCTGGACCTCAAGTTTTTAGATACTTGATCCGGAAACTTCAGAGATCCATATGGCCTCAACTTCGGGTCCCACGCAGGAAGTTTTTTTCTCCGTGTAACTTGAATGTTGCGGCACTACCCCAACTAAATTTGCGACACTGCCACAATTAATTGGAAATGCACTTATCATCCAGCAAATTGAGGTAGCACCACATCTGAAGCGCCGGGTGCAGGAAGGGCACTTCTTGGTTGCGGTATCTCAGGATCTACGTCAAATCCGTTAAATTTTTGTTGAAATATGTGTCAAAACCATTTTCATTAGCGATTTTTACTATTCAAATATTTTATTTTTGTTCACAGCTAGCCAAGAAAGGCCTTGATATTGTTCTGATCAGTCGGACCAAATCGAAATTGGAAGATGTTGCGGCTGATATCAGTGAGTTTCTCACCTCTAATTTTTCCTTTGATCAAATAGACTATAGGGAACCACAAATAGGGAAAACGTCAACTATAAAATAATTGCATGTTATGAAAAATGTGGGCGTTATTTTCACAGCAAAACGTGTATCCCAAGAAGAAGAATTGGAGGACGGAGAAGAGGGATAAACAGGATCAGTTTAGTATTGGTAGTAATATAAGTTTATAAATTTTTAATAAGCAGTACTTGAGCAGCTATCACTATTGACATCTCTGTAGTTAGGTTCTAGGTTTGTTACAAAAAAATCTAACTAATTTGGAAGAGAAAGAGAAGGGAATAAAGAAGAAGAAAAATAGGAAAAGGAGACGAATTTCCTTTCATAGTCTTTTTCTTCCTCTTTTCCTCTCTTCTCTTTCCTCTTTTTCTTCTTCTTCTTCTTCTTCTTTTTCTTCTCCATCTTTATCCTCGTCTACTAAAGCGCAAGACGAAAACCTAGGTCTAGTACACTCGGATTTATGAGATTGACAGTCATTTCTCACCTTGTTCACCCATGTCCATTCTGATATTTCGTCATCTACCGGCCAAAGTATCACAAGCGCCAAGCGATGTTTCAAAATTTCCGCCGCCATTTTATTTTTTACAGAGAAATTGTTCAACGAAGCTTTCCAAAAATTTCACTGAATTTTCTTTGTGCTGCCGATGAAATTCGTGAAATTTTCAAACAGATTCAACCAACAATCCCTCTGAAAAAAAAATAAAGTGGCGGCGGAAATTTTTAAACGCCGCATGCCGCTTATGATACTTTGGCCGGAAGATGACGATTTCACCCATCACCTCCCACCCTAATATTGTGATTTAACTGTCTTGCTCAGGGTCTAACTACAAGGTGAACACAAAAATCATCGAAGCTGACTTCTCTCTGGGCGACGAGGTGTTCGCCACGATCGAGAAGGAGTTGTACGGGCTGGAAATCGGGGTGCTCGTCAACAACGTCGGGTTTAGCTACCCGTACCCTGACTACTTCCTCTCGCTGGAGAACAAGGACCGCATCTACAAGACCATCATCCAGTGCAACATCAACACCGTCATCAACATGTGCCAGATCGTCATGCCCGCCATGGTCGAGCAGAACAAGGGAGTCGTCATCAACCTCTCCTCCGCCAGTGCCCTCTTCCCCTGCCCCATGCTCAGTGTCTATGGAGCTTCAAAGGTAAAGAAATATCCAAAACTCTTGGAGTATCATGTAGACCTATACTGCCCTGCTAAGGAAAAAAAAGCCGTATGAACATTCGAGAGTTGCCAAATTTTCTTCGATAAAATGTTCATTTTTGACAAAGGTTATGAATGCTTTTCTTTGAAATTTTCATTAGCTTTAGGGGAAATTGCGAGCAAAAGTATCTGAAAAATTGGAAGGAAAATATTCGTAAGTTTACCAGGAAATCTGTGTTTTATCAAAGGAAATTTGGCAACACCACACTGAGGGTTTATAAAGCGTTTTTACTAAGCACGGCACTATAGAGTACTATAATGTAGAAAGAGTGCGAACATGTCGAGGGCTAAGGAACGAACTGATAATTTTGGCGGACATGAGTTCGCAACGTCAGACGTAAAGACGTCAATTTTGGACGTCAAAATTTGGAATTTGAACCGATCTTGCTGCTATTCAGTCTCTCTCAATCACAAGAATAGTTTTGGAGTACACTAGCGGTATATTTAATATAATATATAATTATATTTCATTAAATATACTCAAGGCACGACATTTTTCTTTGGTAGAAAATACTTCTTTTCTACTCCGCGTTTAAGTCTCCAGCTTTACTGTGGAAAGTGTATCAGTTGCACAATTGGAAAACGTGTATTGATTATTGAACATCTATTCGATCAGTACATGAACTACATTTTGCAATAAAGAACCGCTATTTCCGCTCACTCCTAATAGCATCTATCAGCATGACGGGCACATAATGCTGTCTCTGAATAAGCTAGGAAAACTGCCTACTTTTTGCAAAATGTGGTCTATTTGCCAACTGAAAGGTTTTCAGTGTTCAAGACACAATTTCTCTAATCGCGCAACAGGCAACTGATCAACTTTCCAAGGTAAATCTAAAGACTTCAACGCAGGGTAGAAAAGTGGTCTTTTCTAAAAATCTCTTGCATTGAGTATCTTAAAATGAATTAAATCCACCGTCAGTTTACTGTACTTCCGTGCCAAGAGAGAACGCCGTATGAACCTTAAGGCGTTGCCAAATTTCCTTCTATATAGCGCGAATTTTCTGGTAAACTTATGAATATTTTCCTCCAAATTTTTCAGATAATTTTGTTCGCATTTTCACCTGAAGATTCTGAAAATGTAAAGGAAGAATATTCATAACTTTCCTCAAAAATTAACTAACTTATGGAAGGAAATTTGCCAACTCTCGAATGTTCATACGGCGTTTTTCCTTAGCACGGCAGTGTAAGACTATAATCGTGACTGAAAGTAGAACAGTAGCATTTTTTACAAGTAAAAAGATCCTAGTAACCGGGTATCGTAAAGCAAAATAGATCTTCTTCCTTATTGCTCATCCTTAGTCGATGGTTTGTATGTGAAAACTCCTTATTCTCATATGTAAACCCTTGTAATTTTCAGGCTTTCGTGATCAAGTTCAGTGAAGATTTGGCGAGCGAATACGAGAAGAAAGGAATCATCGTCCAGTGCGTCGCTCCCGGTTTTGTCGCGTCGGCCATGAGCAAAATTAGCAAGCCCACCTGGATGGCCCCCTCGCCCAACAAGTATGTTAGCTGTGTTTTGAAAACGGTCGGAGTCCAGAAGTTAACCATGGGATACTACCCTCACTTCTTGATGGTAAGTTCAAAGTATCTCTCCTCTTTTCCCGTATACATATGCTTTCTCTTGGCATTCCTGACTCTCCGTTAATTAATGCCGTGAGCTTAAATATTTAAGATCATTGAAAAACGAGCAGGAAAGCTCTACTACGTCAGTATTAGAGAGGAGTTCAGCTGTTTTCTATGTAGGCCCGTTTTCAAGTTCCCTCCTTGGTATGAGCACCGTTGAGATGAAAGAACTCGCTCGCCAAAAATTCAGCTATCAATTCTGAGAAAGCAACACCACCGCAAAAAAAAAATAAATTATAGATAATCGAGAATCATCCTCCGTGCTTTGACATCAGAAGCATAAAATGGACTGCGTTAAGCAGAGAGGAACCAAGCCGCATCAGCTGTTGCAAATTTAATAGAGCAATTTAATTTTTTACAAGAGAACGTTTTGGCGGATTCCTCTGATTTTTTTGAGGAATTTGCTTCGTACTATGCGGGAAATTCCTTGAAATTTGCAGGAAAATCCGCAAAACCATTCTTGGGTAAAAAATTAAATTGCCCAATTAAATTTGGCAATAGCTGATGTGGCTTGGTTCCTTTCTGTTTAACGCGGTCCAAATAAAGGTATCACAGATTAATCTATTCTAAGTATATTAGGCTCCTCTTCGCCATCTTGTTGAGCTGGTGCGCCATTTAAGCGCATTGCGATTAGTATACTAGAATTCTAGAGGCAGCTTGAAATCGAAAAGTGCCTTCTATCGGCTGAGCGCTTAAAAATCTGTAATTGTAGCTCTATGTCTCAAAAATCCGCAGCTTTTTTGAGAACGATTTGATTGTAGACCAATCAATCGAAAACGTCTATATTTTCGGAATTTTTTTCAAAAGTCCTCGAAAGATGCATCTCGCTATAATCTGTAAGGTATTCCCTTACAAAATGTGCACATTTTTCTTGCGTTGATAAAGACGGTGGTGCTTCCTCACAAAATTCGTGCGAAAGCATCAGCCATGTTGAATATTGTGTAGCATCCGAAAGTGCATAAGAGTTGGATGGAACGACTTCTCCTACGAAATGCTCACCTGTACCGCACACTGGAAAAAAAAACACATTGGATCTAGAGTCCGGACTCTTAAAAACATCGACAAGAAAAAATACTCTTGATTCAATCGGATTCTAGCTTAAATCAAGACAAGAACCAAGCCTCTTAATTTGAGCGGAGTTCCTTTTGATTTAAGCAAAAATCTGATGAGTCAAGAGTATTTTTTCTTGTCAATGTTTTCAAGAGTCTGGACTCTAGATCCAATGTAGTTTTTTTTCCAATGTAGTACAGTTGTTGAAGCGGGAAGCGTAATATATGCATATTTTTACGCAGATTGTGAAGCTAAGAGGGAATTTCAAACTTTTCTAACGCTCTCATCGTGATTCTCGAGCCATTACCTCTAAGAGTCAATTTTTCTTCTTTCTCTAGCTGAAGTTTGCAACAGGCCCATTTTGCGCGAAACATCTTAAATGAACGTGATTTTTTGTGCAGGTTGGACTTCTGCAGTTCCTGCAAGGGATTTCTCACTCCCTCGCGGCCGGTCTTGTCACCCGCACCCACGAGAACATCCGCACCAGAGCTCTCAGGAAGAAGGAGCGTGAACTAGAGAAGGAAATCTCTGCAGCTCAATGAGTCTCGAAAACCATCCCTCAAGCAAGGGCGCCGTTGCAGCCCTCTTAGACTGAACAAGGCTCTACACCGACCTTTTATTGTTCCACTAATTGTGATAAACCAAGGGACCCCGATGCAAGGCTTTCTGCAAGTGGATTCCAGCGGCGTGGTGTGCTTTGCGATTTATCGATTGATCTGTCATTTAAATCTATGGAAAAGGGTCGATGAACAGGGTGACCTTAATAATCGAGCTTTTACCATAGCTTCAAATGGGGAAATATCGATACTCGATCATTCACGCCGCGCCACTGCTGGATAGACGCTATTAGTAGCGACGTCATCATAGGGATTCCCCATTATATCGAATTGGATCCAAACAAAACATTGGCATAACTTCTTTCAATGCTCCCAATGCTGAAAAATCTATATATACTGCTTTTCTGTGACGTGGCACTAATAGCGTCTATATCCTGCTGAAAACAACCATCTTGACGCCTACCCGGTGCAAATTTGCTCCCGGAAGGTACCATGTTGAGATCAGTAGGTACGTTACTAACACGATGAGATACTGGTTTCATGATGACCTCTTGGACTAAATTAATACCGTGCGTTATTACTTTGTTGACAGTTTATTGTTACCAACCTGAACTGAAACGAATCATGTTGGTATCAGTTTGATCTCAACATGGTACAGATTGATGGCTGAAGTAAAACAATGCGTATCTCAGATTATGGTTTGATAAATCTACTCTTAAGTTTTATTTTATTTTTTTGAAGGGAAACTTAACTATATTTTCTATTGAAATATTCTGTGAAATTTCTTTATTGTTTAAAAATTTCAAACAAAATTGCGAAGAAACATCTTGATAAGTTTTCTTTCGGAAAAAAGAGATCTTAAATGTTGCAACTAAATACATTCAGCAATCGAAACTTGTGTGTTTTTAGCACTCTGAGAGAATGAATTATCATTTTTAAGAAATCAAGCTTTCAATACCACCTAAGCTAAGCATTCTGTCATCATGATGATCTCATCATTCAGAATTATTATTGCGGAATCTAAGATACCGTCATAGGTTTAGTGCTAAGTCGATACTTAGCTATGAAAACGCGTGCCTTATTTGGTAAAAAGTTGAAAGTTGTAAGTTGTGTTGTAAGTTGAAATTTCCTCAATGCACTACTCTTCTTAAGTTGAGAACCAACCAACGTCATTTCTTGAAAGTTTGTATCTTTACACTATGTGTGAAGAATATGATGTGAAAATATCAAAAGATGGCCTGTTTTCTCGTCAGAAAACCCAATAGAAACGGATAATAATTTGTGGCACTGCACTTAAGGCACGCGTTCTCTGAGTTATGCTGTCGATATAACTTGTTATAATATTTGAGGGAGTTCTAAGAAGTTTATGAATCACTGTTATTAATCAATCGAGAAAGCACTTGTTGGTATCTAGTCGGTTCAATTTTCGAAAAGAGTTCCTCTTGAATTGTTAATAGTTACGGCGCTGAGTCATTCGATTGTACTTGTTGATTTTGTTTCTTTTTTTTTAAAAATAGTTTTTCTCTCATTTTCCTTCATTTCTTTAAATGTATCCAATGTCATGTAATATTCCTCGGGTTTTACAATTTGAACCCCAAAATCGGTTAAAAATTATTTTTATTTTGTTTGCCATTGAGAGCGCTATGAGTAAAGAGTTGAGTGCTCAAAATATGCCAAACTCTCATTGAAAACCCACATTTTAAAAGAATAGGTAGTCGATTTGACGACAAAATTTAAGAAAATACAGTCAAATAATGTTCCATACGAAACATTTCATCTAGAAAATGATCGCCTTAAATGCGGTTACTTTAATTTTTTTCTAAGACCATCTTGTGATAAGGATTTTTTCGAATAATTGAATCCTGGATTTTGTAATTTATTTGTAAATAGTGGTTTTAATTCTAATTACATCTTATAGTTTTTCAACTTGGAGTTAATTTTTTCGGTGAACCCCTCGTATTTTTACATCTGACCTGGATGTGAATGACAGAGAAAATCTAAAAGGACAAAAAATGCCTAATGACAAAAGTATCAGGAAATATGCGCATCTTTCATTTCGAATTTTTCTTTAACTTCTAAAATGTCTTAAAAATGAGAGAAGTGTAATTAAGGCTACTGTCGTGAAGAAGAGGACAGTTTTTGAAAGCATTCAAATGCCGTGGCTGAAGGTATACTATACGAGTACAAGGTCTGAACTAAAAGAAAACATCACATGTAACCTCTCCAAAATTTCACTTAAAAGTCAATGCCTACCAAGATAAGTCCCGAAATCAAATCCTGGACGAGGAAAGTTAGATTACACAAAGGACGTCATTTATATTTTTGTCATTTAACCAATCTTAATCTGAAAAAAATCCATCATGGTTAAGAGTTGAATTTCAAAATTCCAGTCTTATGATTCGTTTTTCTCGTGAAATTTTGAGGAGGAAGTACGAGTATCTCTACGTGGTGTTTTGACTCATACCTTGTGTAGCGGCCGGTTTCGTATTTGATACGTATGTAGGCACAGCAGCGCCTTCAATTACGCGTGATACAATATTTGGTGCATATCCAGATTGATTCATTGGCAGGTGCCTTGGGTTAGGTAGGGGCCATTCATAAATTGTTCGAGACCAATACAAGGAGTAAAGTTGTTGACGATTCAGCAAAATTAATCTCATTCACAGCAAACTTGACATTATTCTATCCGGAAGATGAAAAATTAGAGGGGCTAGGGGGACAAGGCGTGTGAGTGCAGTTTTTGCTACATCGGAAAACATGTGTTTGAAGTTTGGATCATTATGGCGGGAGGAGAGGAGAGTTCAAACTGACTTTTTGATAATTAAAAATTAGAACTTGGGAATGCATTTTTCACAGAGTACGCATTAAAACTAGTCTTACTTGAAATCATGATTATCTCAATCTCTTCAAAAACTGCACTTATACGCCTTGTCCCCCAAGCTCTTCATACATTCTTCCAATTAGGTAATAACGTTCTAAGTGCATGCTTTTAATTTATAAAAGACAAATCTGAAACAAACTTTGAAAAATAGAATGAAGAGGGTAAACATGCAGCAAATTTTTTGAAAACAGGTTTTACCGAATTATCCTTTCATCACGGTATACATAGGGTCGGTATCAAGAAAATGTGTCTCCCACATTTCGTCGTCCATCATTCGTCGCACGCAGTTCGTGCATGTCGCCGTACAATTCGTCGCTGCGGTAATTCGCTGTGAGATCCCAATCCAAAATTTAAACCCGTAAAAGAAAAAAGAAAATGATTGCTAAAAATCTTACGCTTTTAGTTGCAGTAGAGCTGGAGATTGTGTGCAATTATTCCACGAGGATATGAAACTGTGCAGGGTTTTCCAAGGTCCTCACAAATTTTCTTCGAACGCTTGTCCAAATGTTGTATTTTTCTTCTTTCAATCGAATCATCCCCAGTGATAAACTGCTTTACAAGAATGTCAGTAGGTCTTATACTTCCTGTTGAATCGTCTTCATTCACATAAGGGTCAAAACTGACCATCAAGAAAACGATGAAGAAGTGAATTATGAACCTATGAAAATGCACAAAATCTTACCTGGTAAAAATAAGAATGACTTAATTTTCTCTCTAATTCTTTTTCGATCGAATTGGTGTCAATCGAATCACGTCGATCACGTTTTTACTTTTCGATCGAATGCATATCCTACACTTCGAAAGGGCTCATTGATCAAATGAACTTCAATTTGCGATTAGTAACCACAATTTCTAGTTTCGTTTAGGAACAAATTATGCACAGTTAGCTCCTTATGCACACAAGTGTTTTATTACAGAGGAGCCAGAAATTGTAGTTCCGATTAGCAAAATGTAGTCCACGTGATCACGTCATTTCATCGCTGAGCAACGAAGGAGTCTACACGTAAAAGTCGTTTCACTCGCATGATTCAATTTAGAATTATTTATAAAAATACGAAAATGAAGAAAATACAATTAGTTTGATTTTATATGATGTTTTATCTTTTGAAATGACAATAATTCCAACCAACTGTACATGGACTTAAGTTGAGTAGTAGTTAGTTAAGTAATAATCATAAGTTGAAAACCGCTGACGCCGCAAGTTAGAATAATCGCGTCAAACATAGTGCGGCCGGCGCGGAGCTGACGCGCACAGCCCGAAACGCATAGTAACGCCTTACATGACCGTAGGATACTTCACGCATTGCGCGTACAGCACGGTGCGCGCCACGCATATAGTAACGCCATACAAGTCTGCAGGATACTTCATGCATTGCGCGCACACCACGGTGCGCTAGGGTAGAGGGATTTTAAAAAAGTTGTCGGATCGAGTTGTCCCGGCGAAACTAGGTGCTCTGTAAGGTTACGAACAATGAATCAAGTGTAAAACTTTTCGAATTTTGACGTTTTCCGGCAGTACATTTACGTTGGGCCAAAAGATTGCGGATTCAAAATTTGATTTTCCGGGCAATTGAATAGTCAATCTTAGCTGAAATTGGTAATTTGGTGCTGAAGACGAAAATTTCCTTGGTATCTGCGTATGTTAAACTGTATAAGCAGCCCTGGTAAGAATTGGCAGTTGAATCTGTGTTCCAAAATACCATAGACCTACAGCCGGCTGTAAGTTTTCCGAAAGCTTCTATAGCCGGCTACACAATTTCTTATAGCCTTTTATAGCCGATGGCGATTAAGTGTATGCTAAACGTTACTAATTACGGATGCTAGGACTTAGTGAGTTCTTGGACTACCGCTCTCTTTTTGGGCCGCAGTATCTTGATTTAATTTGCGAGGAAAGCTCCGTACTTTTGAAGGATGCCTGCCATTCCTAATATGTTGGAGCGCCTTCAATTTCGTATGATACTGTGCAATACCTCTGGTGTGAAAAAGTTGCTTCAAGCGCCGCGGTACGCTGCGGCGCGGCGCGGCGGGCGGGCAGCCAGCGCTGAACGCGCATTGGCGCCTTCAAACCTAACAGGGATACTTCACGCATTGCGCAATGCGTGAAGCATCCCTATTAGGTTTGTAGGCGTCAGTGCGCCGCCGCTCCGCTTTGTGTCGGGCTCTAATATTTAATCTCGCGGAGTCAGCGTTTTTACTCATGACTTTGAATGTTTGCACACTCTGTATGGATTATTCTCATTTTAATTGATGAAAAAAAATATGTAGTAAAGGACAATATAATGTGCGTTTTTAAATATTAAGATGATTCCGTACAAACTTAAGGATTTACAAAGCGCAGGAATTTCTACACAATTTCTTATAGCCTTTTATAGGCGATGGCGAAAAAGCAACAGCCAGGCGATGAAGTGTAAAGCCCGGTGACAGGAACTATAGCCCGGCTGTATAATTTTTTATCGCTTCGTGTAGCCCGGCCGTATGATTTTTTCCACTTTCTACAGCCAGCTATATGATTTTCTATCGCCCTCTTCAGTCGGCTATAAGAACTCCTAGGGTATTTTGAAACGCAGCTCCTATCGCCAATTTTTGCCAGAGAGTAACGGCCCAGCGCCCGAGAGTTGCGGCTATTCCGCAATGTCACGCGCCAAGGTGCGTTAGGAGCCCCGAAAAAAGAACTAACAAAACCAACTGTGATTTTTTAAAGCTTCTTTGTTTTTCTTTTTTTTTTCCTTGTAAAATTTTCTCCTTGCATTTAAAAGTGAAAAATAATATTTTGATTACAAAAGTACTGGTACAAGTACATGTTTTAAAGAAAGGACATGAAGGTGAATTAAAAAAATCTGTCAGAAACAATCGTTTTTAACCAGCTGACTCGTATGAAAATGACCCGCTCCGATTTTTCGGTCCAAAAAGCTGCGTGAGTTCGGTGGTTCGCGCGATCGGCGAAAAACGCGCTTTGTGTGAACTTTCACCAAACGGTCGAAAACACTTTTTTTTATTATTTCTCGGCTCAGGAAGCCTCGCCGACTCTGCGCAATCGATTCCACGCCTCAAACTACGTAGGATTTGACACCTATTGCGACATTTTTCCCCGTCCCAAAATCGAGAAAAATCGACAGGGGTTGCACGGACTAACTTTTTAGGGTCAAAATCGGAAGTTCTCCGATCGGGTTGAAACCAAGCTTACCCACTTGGAAATGACCCGCTGAGTCTAATTTTCTGGTCTAGAAAGCTTCATAAGTTCGCTGGTTTGCGCGATCGGCGAAAAACGTGCTTTCTAAGAACTTTCACCTAACGGTCGGAAGCACTCGTTTTTATTTATTGCTCGGCTTAGGAAGCCTCGCCAACCTTAAGAACCATGCGCATGGAACTACGTGGGATTCGACATTAATCTTGGAAATTTTTTTCTCATCCAAAATCGAGAAAAATCGACATGAACTAACTTTTCAGAGTCAAAATTGAAAGATTTTCTATTGAAAAGTGAGTTAAAAAACTTCAATAATTTTGTAAAAATCTTGCCCAACTTTACTACCGTGCAATTCTTGTCTGCGTCTCAATACTTTGTCTGCAATTATTGAAGCGCTGGGTGCAGAAAAGGTATTTCTTGGTTGCAGTGTCTCAAAATCTTCAGTAACGCTTCATCCGTTATGATTAAATGAAATGTTTGTAATTAGTTGTGACTGTTCCTGAATATTCTTCATGATTTTACAATGCTGAAAACGGAAAAGTTCAGAATATTAACCCAATAGTGTCATTTCTGAAAAATGAGTTAGGTACCTAATGGTGGAGATTCTGACACACCACAACGGAGAAATACCTACCCTTTCTGCACCCAACACCTCAATTGAGCTTATGTATTAGGTAATGCTAAATATGATAAGTTCTCAGAAGCATACTTAACAGTGACTTCATGATAATTTTTGTCTGCTTCATGTAATTAGATGAGTACTCAGTATTTCTTTGATGTTGTAAAAGGGATTTTGAAAAATTGTTTATTTATTGTTATATTACATGTTATTTATCAAAGAAATTTAGCATATGCTGTGGATAGAGTCTGAAACTTGAAGCCAGAATACAGGCTGCTTTCAGGTTTGAACCTTTTATCAATGTTAATCTTTTCAGAGGGACACTTTTTTTCTTTCAAATTCCAAAGTTTATAATAAAGTCCCAGAGTTCTCCCTGTTTTCCCCCTCAAAATTCAATCTCCTGGATATTCCTTGTTTTCTTTGGTAATAGAAACTCTGTTTGTTTGGAAGTATCGATGAGAAAGTGATAACAATTCTGCAAAATGCATATAACTCATCAGAAAGGAATGATTTCTTGGTGGGCTTTCTGAATGTTGGACTAGATGTGGACTAAAACTAGACTGGAATGACTTGAACTTTAATAGCATTGTGAAGAGGGAAAAAAGGAATTAAAATAGTGGTAAAAAATAACAATGGATTGTTCTAATTATACGTTTATTTCAGTTCTAGCTATATACATCAGTTCGTTTAAAATTCAAATAAAAAATGCATAAATTCAGTTTCTAACTGTACTGCTGTTTTTCTGCTTTGCAGTGCTTGTCTGGTCAAACATAACAACTAGGTAATGGTTGTCGTAATAATCTTAATGTCTAAAAATAAAATCAAGGGCAAAAGTCATCCTCCTTTGACTGGGAAATACGATCCAAAGAAGTAGAGCAATACTTTCTAGAGACACACTCCCCCTTCCAAATGAGTGTTACAAAGCGATCAAACAACAAATGTACGTGAGTCATCTGCAAAGATCTAAAGAAGGTGCAAAATTTAGGGGAAGATACTACAACTTAGGGAGGAGCCAATGTTGCACAAAAGAAAATTCATGTGAAACGTTGGCAATGTCTTTTCGAAAAATATCTTTACTTGTAGACTGTCAACAAACTTGTACTTTTTAGTGTCTAATGGTGAATAAACTAAGCAGATTCTACAAACTTGGGTAAAATAATATTCAAACCCACAAAAACACCCACTTGTGCATTGTAATTTTCAATATTTTGGTCTGTTGTTGTAAAATATCAGTCTGAAATCAAGACTCACTGGAGAACCTGAAATAGTATACTGCCACTGATGAACTGATACTGCGACATCCATAAAACTTTGAAACTAATAATTTATCCTTAAGACTGCTTATAACAATATATATTGTGCATGTGTCATAAAGTTGTGTTTAAAATTGTAATAAAAATTATTACTTAAAACAAAAGGATCAACGATTGATGTGGCAAAGATTCAAGACACCATGATATAAACTCTAATCGTGGATACATAACATCATCTGTTATGTATTTCAAAAAGAGGCGACTACTTTCGTTTGATTACAATGTAAGAATTCGGCGATCATGTCAATGTTATTAATTTCAGCAGATCTAGGGCTAATAATCAAAGTAAAGTTCTGTATCACTGGTGACTGACGCATCTCAGTACATAATGAGAAAAAAATGCAATTAATCTTCTCAAAAAATCCAAGTATGTCGACAGCATTCTTACTGTCAGTGAAAACGTCATGTTGACTAGCAGACATACAAGCATACTCTGAATAGTGGAGAATTTTGAACGTATATACATACATTTTTAAACACTTGAGCACTTTAAAAAGCTTAATAAAAGGTTCCGTACAGGGAAAGGGCTATGAACTAGAAAATTGATGAACAAAATGCATCAAGAACAGCCTAAATACACTTTTCATACAGTATTAACATATCAAACAGGTAATGTACAAAATTTACACTTACAAAAAAAACCCTAATTACAACACGGCAACTTGAAAGCAACACTGATATCAACAATGGGTAAGGGTTTGAAGTATCTTGATCATTTTCTTTCCGAAAACAGATCCTTTTTCTTCTGCTGGGTGCAAACTTTAATTCAATTGGTTCATTAGACGAATTCATTTTCAAAAACAGATCCTTTTTCTTCTGCTGGGTGCAAACTTTAATTAAATTGATTCATTATGCAAATTTATAAAAAATAAAACAGGAAGTCAAGAGTCAGTTTAATTAAAAAATTAGGTCTTGTTCTTCTGTAATTTTAGAGGGAAGAAAATTTGCAAGAATCTTCTTAAATTCATAAAAGTAAGGGATAAAATTTGACATTCCAGAATGAGTGGCTAACAATAGTTTGCATCGCTCACATTAGATCACATTGATGGCTAAAGTGCGAAACCACGTACCTCTGATGGCGAAGTTGCAGACTTCCAGTCATATTTTATTTTTTCTCTGGAAAACAAGTCAACTTATTTTCTTGAAAACTTCTTTGATTTGTCTTCTTTATTAGCAGAATAGTCCATAGAAATTTCAAGCTACATAGTTGACTTGTTTTTCTTTGAAAAAATAAAATAGGAGCAGAGATTTGAAATACCACAATAGAGGGACATGGTTACGCACTTTAGCCATCGATATGTAAAATTTAGTTGAATTCTTCCAAGCTTCCCAGTAAAATATTCAAGGATAAATCTCAGCCTTGTTTCGCAAAGTTGAGAAATCAAGAAAAATAGCACCAAAAACTTCAACTAGACGCAAGATTTAAATAAGAGAGTAAAAACTACTATCATCTAAACGCGTACAAAAATATTCCCAAAAATTCAGGGATCCGAGTTACTTAAAATAAAAGATGCTGAGACAAAACATCAAGGTATCGAAAAGAAAATCAAACTTGGACGCAAGCCTAAATTAAAAATAAAGATAATACTGAACTGATGTGATCAAAGTGTCAACTTTATGGCACAAGCTATCTCTTCGAAATCTTAAAATTAATCGTCAAATATGTGAAGTATCTAACGTCTGGCAGTGACAAGTGTTGCAAATTGGAGGGGGGCTTGAACTCTTGTCATTTAAGCTCACCACTTGGTTAAAATAGTACAAATTGGAACCTTTTTGGGCTCTGCAGCTTTGCTGCAAACAATTAGTTTGTACAATGCAATCAAAGACCTGAAAATGTTTCGGCTACTATTTTGATAATTTCTTTAATGCTGCACTGGCATTTGAGTCAATAATCTTTGCCAGTATTTAATACAATCTCCTGATGAGGTATGAAATATTCAGGTCCATGGGAACGTTTGAAATTCTGCCTTCTTTTTTTCGAAACAAGAAAAAAAATAAAGACAAGTTTCTTTCCCTATCCAATTCAGTCAGACAAATTACAGTTTTAAAAGACGGAGAAATAGGGATCTCAAACATCATCACATGAGCATTGGAACAATTAAGTAGTGACTTTACAAATTTACAATAGATTACAGGTCCCGGTAAAACGGAGATTATGTATACGTTTGTACAAAATACTGATCAACAACGATTCGCAGAGTCAAGGTACGAATCCATCGTAAGAAAAATAGCTACCTAGATAAATTACAAGAAAAAACATGAACACTAGTATGTATTTACCATCGACGGAAAATAAAAGAAAAGAACACTAACATAAGAAAAGAGTCATTCGGACAGAGATTAATGATGAGACGAATTAGGCAGTGAGAATGAGAGCCGCTTCATGCGCTATTCGAGACTGCAGGAAGACTTTTTGGCAGTTATCAAATATTGCTTATTTTACACTGGTAGGTCACAGAATCATTGTGCTTCAAAATTCAATGAGAAGATTTTTGGAGAGAATATCTACAGTCCTTCAGAAATTTAGCTTCTTTTTTTTTTCATTTTGTTTTTAAATCCTTGAAAAACTCAGAACCCTCGGGTTCTAACAGGAAAACTGATGATCAGAGTAAACTTTTTTATTGTGATAGATTTTACTTAAGGAACAAACATTATTGACAAAGCCTGTAATCATCTCTGCAAAATAGAAAAATACCAATCTAAAATGGTTAAATTTTTACAGGTATTTATCAGATACATACAGAGAAAATATCTGAATAAAAACAAATTGTGGTTACTTGAATTTAGGACTGAGCAATTTAAGATTCTGAATGAATACAGATCATTCTACTGAAAAAGAAGAGAAGAAAAGAGAATACAAATATTCTCTGTTTTATCTCTAAGTGCACACAAAATTGATGAAATTTATCATTTTTCTAAAATGTGCATTCATGCAAATTTTCATTTTGTTAATGGATTGCTGCAAAATTATTGTCAATTAACAGAATCTATCAGGAGGCAAGAATCAAGAAAATAAACTTAACAATGACTAGCCTTAAAAACCCTTTAAGAGGAGCAAATGAGTGCTTTAATAATTCCTCGCTGTCTTTAGATACTATTAAAATTAGATCCTACCACTTTTGAATAAAAAATTTTTTATAATTCACATTGCACGAGGGGAACATTTTTGGATCAGAGAAAGTTTTCGCCACAAAAATACAGGGATCTCTAAAAGGGCTTGAACTTCCAAAAATGTCCACTGAAAGTAAAATTTTGATCAGTGGAACTGATCTTCAAAAGTTTCTGTACCTAAGTACTAAGTTGCGAGCGTCTCAAAAATCACTTCCGAATAAATGTGTCATCATGTTCCATAATATCTAAAATTAAGTAACATAAAATGATAAAAATTTGTTTTATAAAAACAAACAAAAACAAATGAATGAGCCTAATATGTTCCGGTTTCCAAGAAGGGAACGGTATGATTGCGAGAAATAAATAAAAATCAAAAGTCAAAAAATAAAAATTTTGATGAGATCTTGCGGTTGTTGACGAGCGAGAAGGGTTCAAATCAACAAAAACAAATTCATATCCTACAGGCAACTGACGCATCCGGTGCGTCAAGTTTACGAATGCAGCTATACAATTATTTCACGTATAATTCGTCTATTCCTTGAGTTCGGTGTCGAATACCCAGATTCTAGGCTTTCGTCAAATGACATTGAGAGGTGTTGTTGAGGTTTCAGATTTTCTTCACTATCCATTAATTGATGATCCATGTATGGATCTGGCAGGCCACTCACATCATGGTATGGTGAATCTAAACAAAACAAAGAGATATTGTCAGTATTTTCAGAGTAGCAAAACATGATACGAAAACTCATCACTGGAAATAACAAATCAATTTTACATAAAAGCAGCATTCCAACAAAAAAGAGCGAATAGTTTCCTGGCTTTTTTTACATTTAGGTAGCTTTTCAAGGAATTTTCAAAGAACTTTGAAATGTATGCTTTATTTCCTAACTTCCCAAGGCTGCAGATACTCAATACAGCCTCCAAAAGTTGTTTTCACCGCACTTGTTCATGAATATAGAATAAGAGATAATACTAATACTAAATGAAAGAAAATAAATAAATAAAGATGTGGAATTTTGTCATAAAAACCTGACAAGGATTTGAAAAGATTGCTTGCTCACCTATACTACGTAAATGGCCTTGGTGAGCCTTGTTGGGAGCAGCATAATCTTGTCGAGATGGTGCGTTACTGCCGTAGTCTGGGGTTTGGGATGTCAAGTGTGGGTAAGGAGCATAATCGTCAACAGTGCCGTATCCACCATGAGTTAGAGGGTCATATCCACCTATTGAACACACAATAAAAAGTCATTAATAAAAATTCCGATTTATTTCTTCAATTTCAACAATAAAAAAAACTCTGCTTTAACATTGGAGACTTCGTAAGACTGATCTTCAGAAATTGCTCTAATACTTCAGAGAACCCAAGCCTGTATCCACTTTAAATGAACTTGTAAGAATTTGAGAAGAGCAAGATTTCGTGCAAAATCTAGTTTTATTGGTCAAAACATGCAGTCTTTGCAAAAAAGTTTTAAAAGATAAAATTATAATCCACAAAATTATTCAATTTTTAAGCAGGCCGAGAGTGAATTTCCTTTATGACTGTATATTGTTACCAATATTTATAACTTTTTCAGCCATCTCACGATTTTTTGTAAACGACTGCTTTACTTTCGAGTGTCTTGGTTGAGGAGAGTTCAGTGTGGGCAAAGAAATGTGGCAAGATAAATAGTGAGATGGCTGAAAAAGTTGAAAATATTGGTCTCCAGTTTTTATTTGATTTGATTGATTGATGACAGAAATTTCCAGAGGGACTTAAACCAGACATTTTGATACAATATTTAGAATGTTATGTGCAACTATGTTCTGTAAGAAACCCTGTAGTGTTAAATTGAGATAATTTACCATAATGGTTGGTCCTGTCGGCAATATGATGGTGGTGGTCTCCTGCTGGTGAATTTGCTGCCTGCATTTTCATCTGCCATAACGAGTCCTGCGAGTTCACTGAACCGCCGTTGTTTGAGTTGGAATAACTGTTTTCCATGTAAGCCATGTTCACCCCTGCAACATAAAATTTGGAACATGAAAAATCCATTACCATGAAACTAACGTGTGAGCCAGCAATGAACATTCAATATGATTTTGTTCCATCTGGAATTTTTATCAAGCATACTAGTTATAGCAAACATTGAATCTATTCAATCTTAAAATAAGAGAAAAGGGAATTAGAACTAAGGAGGAAAAATTAAGAATTTTCGCATATTTTAAGAAAATCAATTATTATAATTTGACTATAGTCACTCAACAATCATGCATTGAAGATATTCATGTAGAGAAAAGGGAAGACATACATTGACATGCTTGAAATTGTACCTCTTCTCTTCTTGTGCAGAATCTCATGCAAAAAACATAATGCAGGCATAAAGTACGAAAGATTTAAAAGGACAAGAAATGAAAATAAATAAATCTTCACATGCCTCAGTCTTTGATTAGAAATTAAATTCAAAAGGGAGAAAGTTACTTCATAAACGTTTTCTTTGTGAAAAAATTTTCTCATACTTCTCCTTGGAGTAATCCCTCCTTTACTTTTTCTCTCGTAAAAATTCAACATTTGATGAAGAGAAAGTTGAAGGGTTTTTGACCAGTTTGTTAAACAGGGGAGGAGGAGGGCCAGGAATACCTTCTCTAGTAATGAATTTTGGAAGGTTTTAGAGCCAGATTCTAAAGGAAGGAAAGAGGTAATCTGGCCACGACAAACATGCTAAATACTGAACTCACATTCACTACCATTTGGATGTTGTCCGCCTCCGTGCGCGTTGGTGTGGTAACCGTACTCGTTCTGATTCACATATTTGTTCTGGTCATCTAGCGCCAAGTCTAATGAGTGTTCCAACGCCTTGTTTTCCATTCCAGATGCAGGGTAGTAAGGTGGTGGGGCTTGTTGCACAATACTTGGATGCACCCTGCAGCACAGAGAAAATATACTTGAGAAATTGCAAAAGTTGTAAATTTTGCATGACATTTTGCAAAGATAAATCAAGGAGGAAAATAAATATTAAGATGAAACAAACTCTTCAAAAATTTGCTTTGAAACACATAACGACTCCAAGCAGACACAGAGTTATTCCTTGAATATGAAAATACGTATGACCAGCATTCATCAAACAGAAACTAAAAGCAAGTCCATTCATGAAAGCACCTATTTCTATATTGAATCCTGCAGCAGATATGTCATTCCTGAAGTAAGCAAAAAAAAAGTTCATCGTTGATAGATGTTGTTAACATATTAAAAGCAAAATGCACAACTCTATTTTAATCTTCCAGTATTTCTTTACACCAAGTCTTTCCACACACTAAAAGCTTGTATTTCTTTCTTCAAGGTTTTTAATGCTTTTAACTTCCTTTTCACCCAAAAACTTTTCATGAACTCTGAAGAGATCAGCACAAGTAATCATCGATATTTCAAGATGATCAAATGAGCTTTAAAAGAAAAAGTTTCGTGATGATGAAGAGAGCTCATCAATCATCCAGTAATTGTTACAAATTGAAAAATTATATAACAAATTAAAAAACTCAAAACTTACGATGAGTCCATTTCGTAGTCTTTCCCGCTTCCCTTCTTGCATTGTTTGCTCTTGCAGCGACAGAACACATAGAGTAAACCAATGAACAATAAGAAAACAACACAGGATACAACGATTGCAATGATCGTTGGTGTGGGTAGTGTGCTTGCTTCTTTGACGTACGAAGGTCCAACTGCAAAAAAATTGACACATAGTGATTAGGAGGATATTAAAAGAAAGAGATGAACAAAAGGCTCCATAAAGAGAGATGTAAGAAAATTTTAAATCACGGAAGACTTTTGTTTTGATGTGGATTAGAATATATCTTTATAAAATTCATATACTTGCAAAATATCAGAGTTTTATCATGGTCATCAAATGATTAAGTTGAGGCACTGCGTGATCTTGTCTTAGAAGTTTAGCATTGTAAAAAATGTTTTTTTCAATTTGCAGGAGCATTGAAGAATAATTGAAAAAAATAAAAAGTGAAATTAACAAGTTTGACAAATCAAATCCTCCAATAACCTTAATACTAGATTATGATAGTAAAAATATTGATATATTCTTACTTTCAGCTTCAGTGTAATCTCCACAGGTGTCTTGACTGCTTCTGAGACAAAGACGGACACGAACTCTCACTTCATCAGCCATTGAACGGTCAACAAGTAATTGGTCTTCGACAGGGTCATCAAGCGATCGTCCAGTGCTGGCTCTCCTTGAAGCAAGGGATGAGATGGTTGCCTCTTGCCGTGATGAGCCGCTTCCAGAAGCTTCTAGATGGAGGGTTTCAATTATATGCCAGTCAGGATCTGCTAGTTGACTTGTTGTTGCTTCAACAACGCCCACCAATTGCAGACAAGTGGCAGCAATGTTTAAGGTGAGGTCCAGAGTTTCTGGGTTGAAAGTTACTCTTTGAGGTGCAGGTATCCGGTCAACTTTAGTCATAGCATAGGCTTCTTCAGAGTAATCACTGTGTCCTTTTGAGTTATACGCCTTCATCTGCAATGGTTACACATGAAATAAATGAAATGGAGAAATTGAAAGCTTTCATTTTTCGAAAAAATAGATCTAGAATTAAGATCAAAATTCAATCCCTACGCAAAAGCCTATTACTCTTTGATGGATGTCATTCTATGCTGTAGTCAACATCTGTAGTGGAAATTATTTTAAGAGGAATTATTTTGAAAGAAAAACTGAATCTTGGAGGGAAAAGAGAGTGAAAAACTTCAGTTGAAACTTCAACAAAAAATAACAAGAAATCCTAAGGCACTAAAATAGAAAATTATCAAACATTTTCCCCCTCAATTTTTTTCACAATTTTATTTCTCCAAAGTTTTATGTTTTCAAGAAAATTAAGTTCTCCTTTAAAATTAAGTCTTTATTCTGATTGTGAGTACAATTCATGAATGAAATTCTTAAGATTGCAACAGGCAGATAAATCGCTAATGTTTGTATACCGATTCTGGGCAGGGACTTGAAACTTGGTTGAGCTAGATTACTTTAAGACTTGAGGAAGGATCTTTTTCCACTTTTAATTCATCTAAAATCTCTAGGTCTATTTCCCAACTTCAGAAAGAATAGATTTCACAATACAAACCTTAAATACATAGGTCTGGTGCTGTTCAAGGGCTGTAACATTGCACGGGTTGCTCCTCTGACAGTCAAACTCTTGCCATTCCTCTGACAAATATGTGTTTGCCTTCCTGGACGCGTAGCAATCACTGTCAATATCATTGTCTGCCGAGTGGTGTACTTTCTTGTACGACACGAAATACTTGGTGTTCTGGAGTCCACCATCAAATCCAGGCACCCACTTCAGGGTGATATAGTTATGTCCCGTTTGCGTTGCTGTCACCGATTCTGGTTTCTCTGGAGCACCTTTCGGTTGGAGCTGGATGGTCGTGCGAACATTACCAAGGGCATTTGCGATCCGGCAGTTGTAATCACCATAATCTAGTTCGCGCAAGTTGGAGACTTGTAGGATGGATGTGTACACGTCGCCTCCTGCTTCATTGACTGTTGTGTTGATTTCATAATGTCCATCGCTGCCAGGGAGAAGAGGGGCTGTGTGCGTGCTGTAACTCCATTGGAATTCAGGTCTTGGGTACGCTTGAACTTTGCATATTACTTGAGCAGTTTCACGAAGGTCGTAAGCAACTTTGTTGTACTTGTGGAGCACTATTGGTTCATCTGCAAGAAAAAATAATACATAATGTTAATTATCTTGTATTCAATTAAATGCCACTATCCATAGGAAAAGGGACTCAATTGCACAATGGCAATTTATCAACAAATAATATACTTTTCAGTATCCTAAAGAGTAAGTTCTAAGTGGCGTAGTTTTTTTTAAAGGATTGCATACTTCTGTGTATTTATATTTCAATGCACCAATTTTCAGCCTCAAGCATGACAAATTATGAAATTTTAAAAGTTTTCTCTCGCAACAGTATTGAAGACAAACTTCAAAAAATCACAAATCTAGCTTCTTTTAATATTTTTTATTCTTTTTTGTGCCAAAATATCATAAACACTGCAGAAACACATTTGTATAAGAATTTGAAAATCATTTTTGCACGGCAAATCATTCAAAGAAAGGGTAAAAGCTAATGTCGGCTGAAAATGAAACTCTTCATTATGTAAGGTTCATTACCCAAATCAGAGAAATGCGAATTGACAAATCAGTTTCTCAAACTTACGTTCTATCCTAAGATGCATGCTTGTTTCAGCTCGCTTGACTTCGTTTTCAAAAATGCAAGAGTAGACTCCACGATCGAACGGTATGAGCTCGTTGCCGTTGGGTCTGTCCCGACCAGAAAATCGCAGAGTGCTGTGCACAGTGTAGACTTCATTCTCACCCTCCGATTCAGTTGTACTAATATCGAACAATTTTGGGGAGATCTCTGCACCGTCCTTGAACCATTTGATAGAGGGTTTTGGCTTGCCTTGAGCACCGCACATTGCACTGAATTCTGAGTCACCAACCCTGAGAACGGAAAAAACAACTATGAGAGCGAGCACAACGGAAAATATCTCCAAAATGAAACAAAGTAAAAAAAAGATACTGGACTATTTAATTAGTCAATTGGTCGATATTAGTGATGACAAACCAGAGAGAGCTCAGGCAGATTTTTTCTCAAAATTAGTAAATTCAGATTTTCTTTTTATTACTAAAATAAAAAAAAAAAAAAAAAAAAAAAAAACTACTCAAAAGTTTTTTTAAAAACGATTTTGTAGTTATTACTGGAATTATTTCTGAACTCTACAGTAACCAGCTGATGATGATTTTTATGAGACTTAGTTTATATCTAATTTATGAACTTTTTAAAACAGGAAACTGAATCTCGAGGATGCTCTTGACTTCATGAATCCATTTTAAAAGATTTCTGAAAAAGTAAACAGAAAAACAACTCTTGCTGGGTTATTTTCTTTCTCCGCTCCTTATTTATTTAGTGGAAAGTAGGGTAATAAGGTCTCCTACTGACATGAGTGCAGCTAAAGGCGCGAGAAAATTAATTAAAGATAATCCCTCACCTTCTGGTGACATGCGGCTGAAGCTTAGCGAGGAATCGAGGAGGTTGGTGGACTGTGAGGATGACAGATGCGATATCTCCGTTACCCTTTTCGTTCATGGCCTGACAAAGGTATTTTCCCTCGCTGCCAATATGGGCGGACGGGATGGTGTACTTGGAGCCAGTGGCCAGGATGGTAACAGCCGAGCCTGAGGAAGAACTAGGCTGGTCAGACTCCCGCCACCAGCGGTAAGTGGGCATGGGCCAGCCAGGAGGGGAGGCAGAGCACGTAAGGGTAACTCCAGCGCCCTCGGTCGCGATTGGCCGATCGGGGGTGATCCTTGCCTGTCCTGGATGGTGACGCACCAGCAAAGTGATCGATGCATTTCCAACCTGGAATCAAACGAGTGATTAAAATATTTGATCACTTTTGGGGCACATGGGATGGATGAAAATACCTTGGAAATTTCGGCTCGAAAAAAGTCTTATGGATCCAGAGTCCAGACTCTTAGAAAATTCGACGAGAAAAAATACTCTCAACTCAGTCGGATCTAGGTATTTGATCACAATCACTATCTAAAAACGCCTTCATTTACGAATGATACTACAATTACTACACGGCTCACATAAAATTCCGAAAATAATGTTACGTTAATCATAAAATCTGCGATAGCTAGAGTTCCAGACCACGCATCTCGTTTGCTGTGTTTAAATATCTGCGCTCCCATTTTATTTTTGTGAAGGAGAACAAACCAATATCATTCCTTGAAGATTTCACAGCTATTTCTTCACTCACATTCTCAAACTCACGGCAGATTTCAAGCATTGACGTTGAGTGCATAGTTTTCCATCTAAAAAATATGGGAGCGAGAAAGTAAAAATACGTCAGGAAAGTCTGCGACGTCGCAAACCGGATACGTAGTGTGGTCGTTTCCCCGTCGATATTTGTTCTTCATATGCGAACATAGGGATAATTCAGAAAGGTAGGACCCGTATTCTGCCGTGCTAAGGAAAAACGCCGTATGAGCCTTCAAAGGTTGCCAAGTTTCCCTCGATAAAGACCGAAATTACTGGGAAAATTGTAAATACTATTTTCCCAAATTTTCAGAAAATTTCATAAAATATCTGAAAATTTCAAGGAAAAATATGCATGAATTTTGTCAAAATTACAGGTTTTATCAAGGAAAATTTGGCAACTCCCGGATGTTCATACGGCGTTCTTCCTTAACACGGCAGTATTGCTGTACTATTCCTTAGGGCAGGTCCGAGACTCACCTTGTTGGTCCTGGTCCTGGCGAGGGAGGTCGGGTTGAGGACGTTGACGGCGCGGCAGGTGTAGGTGCCGGCGGAGTCGGCCGAGACCTTCTGGAGGACGAGGGTCTCTCCGGACTGGCGGAACTCGGGACGTCCCTCTCGAAGCCATTCCACGGTCGTCGGGGCTGGGTTCGCGGAGACGTTGCAGTGGATGACCACGCTCTCGCCTTCCTCCACGTCGCGCTGACGGCTCACGCCTGGACCTGATTGGATCGTCACCTGAAAAACGCATTCCAGATTAGAGGTGTTAAAAGTATGCAGATACAACAAAATCTTTTGGTGATAATTTATGATCTATCTAATAATTGTCACTTCTAGTGATAACTAAGATAACTAATTCGTCACCTGAAAAACGTATTCTAGATTGGAGGTTTTGAAGGCATGTAGATACAACAGAATCTTCTGGTGATAATTTATGATCTATCTAATAATTAATTGTCACTTCTAGTGATAACTATGATAACTAAATCTCTTCTCAACGATTTTTTTGGCGGCGATTCTCTTGAAATTCAAATAAATGCTATGTTTTCGGGTTGAAGGAAAGATTTCAAGGTTTTGCAGCAAAATTCTCAGACTATTCGAGGTTTCAGAATATACAAATCCCTCTGTTTTCCCTGGATTAACTGTATGGCATGATTTCTGGTAAAAAAAAATTTTCACTATAATTTTTTAGCAAAAAAACTATTGAAAATTTAAATTAATGCTAAGTTTTTGGGTGGAAGTAAAAATTTCAAGGTTTTCCGGCAAAATCCCGTGACTTTTCAAGAATTTGTCACCCTGAATAAGCGGATAGATCATACTCCATCTGGAGAGACGTGATAGTGTCGTATGTAGAAATGGGCGTACTACTTTTCGGCATGATATCTTTCAGAAATTTTGTTCACTCTGATTTCTGGGGCGCGGAGTCGCTTGAAATTTAAGCGAAAGCAATGTTTTTGGCTGGAAGGGAAAATTTGGAGATTTTTCAGCTGATTCTCTGACTTTTCAATAACTCTTCGTTCTGAAAAAAACCTATGAATGCCGCTCTATTCGAAAAGACGTGATGGTATCGAATGTTGTGGTGGGCTTACCTGGGGTCCGTACTGGACGTCGAGGGTGATCTCGGCCTCGCCGCTCTGGCCGAGGCCGTTGTCGGCGGTGCAGGTGTACTTGCCGGCGTCCTGGCTCGTCACTTGGCGGAGGGTGTGCGTGAAGGAGGTGGCGACGAACCGCCCGTTCCGCGTCCACCGCACCCCGCTCACGCGCGGCTTCGCGTCCACGTTGCACTGCAGCGTCACCGTCCCTTCGCGCTCCACGCGGACCACCGGCTCGGGGCCAACCTCCACGCGCGGGAAGTCTGAAACACGAAAGAGCACAAACAAATTAGCATGAATCCCATTGAAATGTGAAACGCCTTCAAATAACAAGGTATGCAACTATTCCTACTCGAAGATGTGCGTGTTGCATAAACGAACAATTCAAGGCATTCTGACGCACTTCACGCCCAGCGCCGGAAAGTAGGCGATAAAGTAAAGCGTGAGGCTAAAATTCCAGATTTCAGTGTGACGTGAGGTACCTTGAATCAGTTGTTTTCAAAAGGGAACAGTCCGTTTTTGCATGAGCCTTGGCTTGCAGGGAAGGAAATGCTACCTTAGACTAATTGAGGAATGGACCTGTTCCCTTTTGAAAACAACTGATTCGCTTATGAGTGACCTCTGGTACAATACTTCTCCATTGCCACCTTGGGAGTTCGTCATCGAACTTTCAGGATATCTACTAAACTTTAATTTTGGAGTTTCCTGATATTTTCCTAATTTTTCAGACGAGATTTCCTGATTTTTCACGCGAATAAACTGACACTCGTTTGGTCTAAAAAATCAACGTATTTAAACAAGAGAATCAAACATTTGAAAAAAAAAGAAAAAAAACGCTTAAAGCAATCAAAATTTCCTGATCTATGGCCGATTTTCCTTATTTATCCTGAAAACATCGACTTTCCTGATATTACCCGGTTTTTAATGACGGTAGACACGCTGACTTTAGAAGCTTTTTTTTTTGGAAGGGGGGCTCAGGCGTTGATTTCAGACGAAACCGGTGACACGATCGTTTATCTTGCGGAACTTCACGGAGAAGCTGTTTTTCAAACGGAAAATCCTCGACTCCTGCATGCACGAGGCACCGGCTTAAACGGGGACGTCTTTGAGGGCGGCTGCACGGCGCGCATCGCTCAATGCCTCGCTGAAAGGGACCCGCGTCGACGCTGCGCCTTTCCACTCCATCACGCGAGTGGGAAAACGATAAATTAATTTGAGAGGAGGAGCTAAAAGCCCCCGAAAGAGTTGTCGGAGCTTCTCTCACATTTACATGAAACGACTTCATTAAATCAATTAATCGCAGCGTCTCCGGCGGCCCACACACGCGCGAGGGAGGCTTCAATTGCGCCCCGGGTTGCCGGGTCTCGGGCCCGTTTCTCCCGGCCCCCGGACCCGGAAAGAGATGGATTCCGGGTGCGCGGCACCGCCGGGTCCATCAATTCCAGTCGAGTGGCTTAAAGTGGTCCGAATTCGGCTCCCGGCTAAGTTACAGCTTCCGCCCATATCGCGGTGGCCGCTATCACGGTTCGGTCCCCGGGTCATGTCTGGATTCCAGATCTGGTTTTTCTCCACTGCCCTTTGCCCCCCCCCCCCCCCGATTTCATCGAACTTTCTCTCACGGTTTTTAAAGTGCGAGTCTGTTCTTCCTCTTTGAATGGTGGGGTGGCATATAGGAAAGCTCGCCCTTGATAACGGTCTGGAAATGTGTCCCTGAATCGAGGATGAACAATTTTAATGATATACGAAACTTGTCGGTTCCTTCTTACCCAATGAAAGCCCATCCGTCATTTTTTGGGGCAACGAAAGTAGCGCTTTTTGTCACTCAAAAAGATCATTAAATATAATTTTTTTCTTTTTTTACACAAAGGAAAAATTTTCTTGCTGCAGGGAAGTCAAACTGCAGGTTCTATACATATTAACCACACAAGATTTGTAACTTTATTGATTTTCAATCTATGAAGACAGAAGGGCTAATTTGTGAGAATACGTATACATTTTTATACATGTCAAACTTTCAGACTATCATACTTATACTCTGTCTCCAAATTTTTTAGGAGATCCATGACAAATGAACCCATTCTTCGTTTTCTCCATTAATCTGATCTGAAAGGCTAATATTACTATGATACTTATGTGATTTGATAATTTTAGCTTAGAGTTAAACTTTAAAGATCATTCAGGTCAAACCCTCAACAAAATTTAAATTCAGGTCTGAAATATTCCAAAGTACCGACTGAACGCAATTATTAATCAATCAATAAATCAAAAGAGCCATCTTTTGACCTTGCAAGAAGGTCACGACCCACCCAGTCGACTCGAAATGCTAACGCAGCTCCAAGATGGCCGCAACGTCTCTATCCATCGACGAGCCACGCTTAATTTTCACCTGGAACACCGGGTTGATATCATGGGCGGAAATCGCAGTTTCTCGGTTTAGCATTCAGAGTGGATCCGAGACCCCCAGCCCCAGGGGGCGGGGGCCTCCCCGAGCGTTTAGATTGAAAAAATTACAGGGGGACGGTTTCTGACCAGGCCCCGCGGGCCCCACCCGGGGGGCCCACGGGGCAGGGCGCGGGAGAGGGGGGAGGTATCTGCATGCTAAGATACTGTGATACAATAAATGGAGCTTTATTAAAAGAACACTAGCTCAAGGTCTTCATCTTTCACCGAGACACCTAATGATTTTCCCCCATCGCTGTGTCTCTCTCTCTTTTTAATTTATCCTCGTGAGTCTGGATCCTTGCGGTTTCTCTCTCGCGTTACACGTCCGCGATGGTCTCCTCATCCCCCAACCCCCATCTCTTCTCCCCCCTCCTCCTTCGTCTTTTTTCTTACTCGCGGGTTGCCACTTATGCGAGAGTTATCTTTTTGCCACTATCTGTGCTTCGAGTTGTGTGGATTCTCGACTTGAGTATGCTGCAGTTTGTCTAAACCTCACACAATGTATTGTCGCTGAATATTAAAATGGGCACTTGATACAACTAAAAAGTGTCTGCAGATAGATTGTTCGGTGGAGGGTTACTTTTCATTCACAGTTTTTTTCCTAAGCAATGATAAGCCAAGCTGATAATGTTGAATGTTTAAAACCAAACAAAGTCCATTTGTAGCGTTTAAAATGAGTCTCCTCAGTTTTCAATACCCAGAAAAGCTCAACTGAATTTCTGCACGTCGTTGCTGTTGACAACGCCTGGCAGGATGCAACTATTCGTTCTCGATGGATGCCCATATTGTATAGCCAAAAAATGAAGGCGCACTGAAATCAGTAGCATTATCGTATGCAAGGATGCCTGTTTTGGGTATGAAAATGTCAAGAAGTCCCTGCGGGCTGATTAATGAAATTGCTAGACAGAGCGATGGACAAAGAGGACCAATGGAGAATGGAGCGATCTGATTGGTGGAAGTAGGTGGTTGCAATGGATTGAAAAGGCAAGTACCGAACAGACTAACTAAGGGCAACCCACAAGAGACCCTGTAAAGACCATCATTTTCCCCCTAAGTCAATAACAACCACCCGTTTCGACCAATAGAATCACTCCATTTCCCCTTTGCCTCTCTTGTCCATCGCTGAATTACTCAATATTAAAATCAGCCCCCTGGTCCAAATTGATAACAAGCTCGTACTCTCAGCCGTTTTAAGGCGGTTCCACGAGGCATTTCGAGCGCTGATTTATCAGACTACCCTTGAGCCTCCTCACTCTCCACACCCCCCACACAACCGCACCTCTCCCTCCACTCCGGGGTGCGGCAACACCGCTCCGGAGGCGATATTTGTGCACGTTCAATGTCTCATTACTCGCGCCGTCGTTTTTATTGTTTTCATTATTACATGCAGGTAATGATAGAGGCGGGAGCCGGGCCCCCACCCCCTCCCTCCCCGGCGGCCGCAGCGTCGCATTATATTTCTTGGCCGGTCGTTTTACACCCCCTCCTCCTCCTTGGCGAGTCCTCTCGATTTTCTTGCTCTCGTCTTTCAAGCGGGCACTCCGCACTCGGCGCTCCGCTCCGGGCAGGGAGCTTTGATTTCAAGCTCCTTGTGCTCCGGCCCCGGGGATCGCTTACTCGGCCACCGTCACCGCGGATCGTGTCCCCTGTCCCTGTCCCTGGGCTGCGGGAATCCGGAGTTCGGCACCCGTTTCCGGCCTCGTGGGATAGTTCTCAATCAGTGGCGAGGCGTGAATCATCGATTCGGTATTTCCCCATTTGTAGATAGGATTAAGGATATGTTATAAAGGTGTTCGTTGTGCACCTAATTTTAAAAAAAAACTCGCCTGGCAAAGTGCTCACCCCGACATTCATGCATCAGTCAGCGAATTGTATTCAGTTTTTATTTATTTAACAAGTTGCTTAACGATCATCATAAGGCGAATAATAGTGTTAACCTCTAGAGTGAACTTAACTTTTGCCTCGCCCAATTACGATGTTGGATTAGTCGTTCCATACGAAAGAACGTAACTATACACCTCAAGGTTGCCAAATTTCACAAATTGCATTTTTACTAGGAGGGTTGGGTGTTCCTAACTGAAAATTTCATTGTTGTTTCCTCTGACCTTACACAAAATCAGATACATTTTGGAGAAAAATTGCATCGGTACATTCTTGTGAAAAATTTAATCGATTGAGTCGATTTTGCAACCTTGGAATGGAGTTACGTTCCTTGGTCCTCGGAACGACGAATGGTTAATGCAGGGTCCATAAATATATTGTCACTGATCGTAAGGGATATATGCAAAGTATAGAGCAAACATTTTGGGTTATAGCTTCCCACAGGATAAAAGGGAACCCTCCATACGGCGGCCCACGACGTTCCATCTCTCATAAACCCATCGGTATGATTCAACTCTTACAGCTCCTGTTTCACAATCAAAATCCAATGCAAATTTTTCATATCGTCAAGGTTCGTGAGCCCAGACAGCAAGCTCCCCATCGGATTCTTGCCATTCCGCGAGCAATGAGCCAATGACGTGAGCAAATTGAGCCTCTCACGGTCTAATCACACACCGACACTACGCACCGAAACAGCGAGGAATCACTCTCCCATAAAATTACCCGCTTGCGTCATCGCCCGCGATCCGCGCAACTTTCTTCTGGCTCCGAAAATTGTGCAACGTCCAGGAAACAGTGAGAACTTCAACGGAAGCTTTTCGGGGGTGCTACTCATAGGCTTTCTCAAAAATCCGGCAAAAAACGCCTAACTCCGATGAAAATCATATTACAGATACGCGGTTTTTGGTGAGGATAGAGAAATTCTGCCCGAAGTCCACTT